CTCTCTCTCTATGTTTAGGTTATAGCAAAGGAGATGAAACGGGGCACCAGAGGATCTCGGCCAATTTGGGCGACAATGTGATGTTCAACTGTGCCTTTGACTTTCCGGACAAAATAGAGGTGCCGTATGTCATACACTGGCAGAAAAAGGGCGTAAAGATACCCATATATATCTGGTACGACGGCTATCCGCCCCACTTGGGTGAGGGCTATGAGGGCCGCGTCTCGCTGTCCAACCCGAACGGGGCGTCACTCAATCTGACGAATGTACGCGAGTCAGACCAGGGCTGGTATGAGTGCAAAGTCTATTTCCTCAACCAACCCAACGAACAGCTCAAAAACGGAACTTTCGTTTTGCTCGACGTTCACGGTTTGTGACCACTCTTTCACTCTATATATTGACATCTCTTTACGACAAACCAAATGAAATAACGTTAAGAATTCTTATCCATTATTTATGTGTCTTTTTTTTTGTTTTGACAATAAGTCACTATTGCTTAAAGTTTTAGTCGAAACACAAAGAAATAGTAGAAATACTATTTCAATACATCATAAATGACCCGAACTTTAAAATTTAAAGCACAAGTAATACTGTGTGTATTCTTCTTCTATGGGCTCATAATTAATATGAAACATAAAACTGATGTGAATTTTCAATGAATTCACTGATTAAATCTTCTCCTCCTTATTTCGAGAGTGTGTTTGTATTCTTATCATACGTTTTCACGTATCCTTTGAATACAGAGTTTTACACAACAATAATTCAATAAATAAATTTTCGCATCGATTTTCATTCACTCTTCTCTTCACTATTATAAGTGTCCGACAATTGTATAATTTGATGCTATTATACGTTACATAACAAGTTTTGCTACATTTCTATACATTGAAAATTAGGAGGATTTTGTATTATATTTATAAATTAAGTTTTCAAAACATATTTTATGTTCAAAAAAGCAAAATAAAATACAGAATTCTAACAAAATATATTTGAATATACAATAATAATAATAAAGTTATAAAATATATTCACATTTTTACATTTGTATAATATGTAATCCATTTGTTTAATTCATTAACTAATCAAAAATACTTTCACATAATATTAGAATCTAATCAATTCATTGAATTCGGTTGTGTTTTGTATTTTGAATACTAATTAATAATTTAAGTTAATTACACTTTTGGTCGTTTTGTGAAAACTGAATCCATTGAATACAGATTTGAAAATTATTTTTCAAATTATTATTTGAATTAAAATAAATGTATTAAAATAATTAATTTAGAAATTGATATTAATATTTAATTTATATTATATTTACTATTCATTGCATATAATAAATACTATCAATAAAATTATTACAATTATTATTATAATAAAATGAATGAATAATAAATTTTGCTTAAAATGAAACAATAATACAATATACAGTAATGTCATTGATATTAACAAAAGTTATTTAGTTAAGCACAAATCCAGACATTTTTTACATAAAATGTTATAAGTGTTTAGATTTAATCTGAATTAAGTTGTTTTACTTGTGTTTAAGTCATGAGTTTGTAATTTAAAAGACTTTATATGCGATCATTGGATCCATTGATAGGAATAGAGGACACTATAAGACTGTCTCTCATAATATGTGATATTCATTATTATTTGAAGAAATGCTTAACTTTTTTCTTATTTTCTTCGGACTAAATGTAGTGAAGAGAGGAGTGAATTGACTCCTACTTTATTGTCGACAGTATTATTGTGAACACAATATAACACAATATCTGCTAAAATGATATGATTTGAGACATAATTTCAAACGAAACGGATATAACTTTTACTTAATTCCACTCTTTATCTCAATAATAATATCGTTATTATTGCTATCCTTTTAACGACTGGTACTCTATATGTGAGCATTATTTTTGCGAATCAGATATAAGTCATAATTACATTAAATTTCTTCATTACAGCAAAATTCAATTATAAATATAAATCAAATTTAATATCATTTCATGTGATTTAAGTTTGTATTACACAACAAACAGAATAGTACTTATAATTTAATTAATATGAAATTAAATTTATTGTTAAGTTAAGTACATTGCATGTTATAATGAGTTTAATATAATTATATAAATTACACAAATTGCAAAAATAATTCAAGATTTATAAACATGGTTAAATATTCAACATATCGATAGCTCCGCCACATTTTGATGAGAAACCACCGGAATTCGCGTACGTGAGAGTCGGCGAGACAATGATACTCAAGTGTAGGGCTGAGGGGACGCCCACTCCTACCGTCGTCTGGCAAAAGGTCCGATTCAGTCAATACATGCAAAAATTAAAAATCACATAAAATATAAACAAAAAACTAATGATTCAATTCACACAAACCCGCAGAACAATCTTCCCATCGAAACGAATGCAAACATTCAGATATTAGGCACAGAATTACGGGTCGAGAACTTAAGCGAATCGGATATCGGAGACTACATGTGTGTCGCGAAGAACAGACAGGGATCGGTCACCGCCAACACCAAAGTGATAGTCGCCGGTCCGGCCGTCATATCGGTTGCGCCCAAAAACACCACTAAACTCGAGGGCGACAAAGTGGAGCTCACCTGCGAGGCGAAGGCACTGCCCGCTAACGTCACGTACAGGTGGTTTCATAAGGGCATCGAGATATCGCAACTCTCGTGGCTCATCACCCGAACCGTTGTCAAAAGGGACGGCACTTTACTTATTAACCCGACCTCATCCGAAGACACGGGAAAGTTCACGTGCGACGCCTTCAACGGTATCGGCGATCCCGACACCGCCAGCGCCTACTTAACCATTGAATGTGAGTCTTATTAGCGAAGAAAATGTTTGTTATTTAATTGATGTTTAATTTACACGAAATCACACTTTACTCCAAACGCATCCATCAATTAATTAACAAAAATAATTTGCCAAAAACTTTTGCTAACCTAACCGTACGATTGATTCGCAGTCCCGGCGCGCGTCACGTACTCGCCTTCAATGCAATACTTGCCGTTCGGTCTGTCGGGTGTTGTCCGGTGTTTCATACAGGCGTCGCCGCCCTTCCAGTTCGTCACGTGGACGCGAGACCGGCGACCCTTTGACCCGAGCGAACACCCGGGCGTCAAAGCGCTCACAAACGGGTCGCTACTGTTCGAGAGGGTCACTCACGAACATCAGGGCAGATACCGGTGCACACCCTATAACCTTCACGGAACCGCTGGCACCTCCTCTGTCATGGAGGTCTTCGTGAGGGGTAAACCATTTACTTGTGTTTTGTTTATTTGTTTTATATTTTGTGAAAATGATTTATTCAAAGAGTATTTTTCTCTCTCTTTTTTGATTCAAATAAATGAATTAAAAGGAAAGCAAATGTTTTGCTAGAAATACAAATTCTAAGTCTAATATTTTTTTTGTTCATTCAATTCTGTCCTTATTTTTTGTATTCCTTATTTATTCCTATATTTTAGTTTCGCTTAATGTTTCTTCATTTTCATTCAGCGCATATCAGATTCTCTCTCTCTCTCTCTCTCTCTCTATCATTCTTTACATAGTATCTGATATTATAGTTGAAAAATTCAATTTAATTTTTAATATAAATAGATGGTCATTTACCCCGACCTAAAATAAATAGACACTAAATTGAATTTATATAATAAATATTGACCATTTTTGTTAGTAATTTTAGAGCATTAGAATTTATATTGTTCAAATATGTTGATCAATGGATACTCTGTACTGTATATGTTTAGTAATGTACAGTATATTGCATAATATATTCAGTGATATTACATAAAGTTCTTCATATAAACATTTGATATTTTATTTTCATCTTTTTGTCGCATAATTTAAATAACAGAAAATATACTGTATTTTCAATCTCTATAACAATAACCATATTTCATAAACAGGACTCGCATTTGAATCAAATATAATGATTGCTTTTAAGGCCGCCTCTAAATACTTGGCTTAAATTAATCATTTTATTGAATAGATTATATGATAGCGAGAGAGAGAGAGAGAGAGAGAGAGAGAGAGAGAGAGAGAATGTGAGAATGTGTTTAGACTTTTTAGTAAATGTCATTTTATAGCAATGATATATTTTAAATGATTTCCTCATTTATGTCTATTACGGTTATCATCAGATTTTGCTATAAATAAATGTTATTATATGTTTAGTTCATATAATAAACTGATAATTTTTGCTACAAAAAAGCACTTATTTATTGAAAAATCGATTATTTTCTAAATAAAGTCAGCGTTCAGTGGATCGGAAAAAAGTCGGAATCAAAAAACAAACAAAAAATTACTTCTTTTCCATTAAATTCTTAGAGCGAAACTTCCTCTCAAATGATATCAAAACAGATTTCTCTTTAAAAACATTACAATTTTCTTCTTATCAGATAAAAGCATAACATTTTTCGCAATATATTTGGCCATCACTTCGATTATAAAGAGAGAGAGAGAGAGAGAGAGAGAGAGAGAGAATGTGAGAATGTGTTTAGACTTTTTAGTAAATGTCATTTTATAGCAATGATATATTTTAAATGATTTCCTCATTTATGTCTATTACGGTTATCAATAAAGAGAGAGAGAGAGAGAGAGAGAGAGAGAATAGAAGTTTTTGTTTGTGTTATATTTACTCGCTTTTTACAAATTTATATACAATTTATATACTTTGCAAACATTGAGTTTACCCGTGAATGGAGTGATCGAAGAGAAAAAACAAAGTCAAACACATGTATTAAATTTGTTCAAATAATGGGTTAATGGGTTTCTTTGTATTCTGTTCGGTGCGACATCATCCCATCTGATGCCACATCTGATGCCACACCAAACCATCCCAACCATCCATTAGAGCCTCCAATCTTCACATTGAAACCGCAGGAACACTACCAGAAGCCGGTGGGCAGTGAAGTGACGATGACATGCGATGGCGTCGGGAACCCAAAGCCGGTCATAACGTGGCGTAAAGTGAGTCCGACTTATATTTTTGTTGCTCTTAAATACCAATTTTCACGTCTCAATACAGAGAATACTGTTTCTCTGTATTGTATGTGTATTGATGTGAACGCCTGTCCTATGCCTGGCCTCTAGTAAACAGTGTATTGAGTTAAGGGAAGACTGATTTGCCATCCCTTACGTAAGGCATACCATTCATCAGCGGATAATCTTTATGAAGAGGATTGCGGTTTATTGTAGAGTAACAGTGAATGGCTTTTGTTGTGCGAAACACCAAAACAGACAAATGATAAATGAATGGCAGCTAAATGTGATGATTAGAAGCAAAAATCAAATAAGTTTTGCTTTCATATAGATTTGGGTCATATCTTGGTATTGATCACTCGGTTTTGCAACAAATAATTACTTTCAATACAATTCATTACAGAGTTGTGCTATTTATACATTAATTTACATGTTATGTTATCCACATATTTATCAAATCAATATATTTTAAGAGGATTTGTTGTGTTTTTTATCAAATATTTTTAACGATTAAATAGATTTTTCATTGAAATTTGTATTCAATACTACTTTACTATTAATATAATATTACTATTTAAGTCATCTTTTAGACTAAATATTTGAAAAATGGGATAAATGTTTTCGGAAATCATATTATTATGATTATGATTGTTATTACAAAAAAGCAAATACTATTGTCAGACTCGATAACTGTAGTGTTAGTCAATGGTTTTGATACTTAAATTAAATTCAAGTCATATAACGGGCAAAGAATATAATTTATAAATTTTGTACAACAGATTTATTTGGTTTTATCACAAGAAATCGATTTCGCATTAAAAGGATGAATGAATGCTTAGATGGAGTGCAGGGGAGAGAAGACATACATCTTATTGTTAATTCTTGTCCACAAAATAAATGAATTAATAAGTTTTGCTTTCATATAGATTTGGGTCATATCTTGGTATTGATCACTCGGTTTTGCAACAAATAATTACTTTCAATACAATTCATTACAGAGTTGTGCTATTTATACATTAATTTACATGTTATCCACATATTTATCAAATCAATATATTTTAAGAGGATTTGTTGTAATTTTTATCAAATATTTTTAACGATTAAATAGATTTTCCATTGAAATCTGTATTCAATACTACTATTAATTTAATAGTATTATTATTTAAGTCATCTTTTAGACTAAATATTTGAAAAATGGGATAAATGTTTTTGGAAATCATATTATTATTATTATGATTGTTATTACAAAAAAGCAAATACTATTGTCAGACTCGATAACCGTAGTGTTAGTCAATGGTTTCGATACTTAAATTAAATTCAAGTCATATAACGGACAAAGAATATAATTTATAAATTTTGTACAAAAGATTTATTTGGTTTTATCACAAGAAATCGATTTCGCATTAAAAGGATGAATGAATGCTTAGATGGAGTGCAGGGGAGAGAAGACATACATCTTATTGTTAATTCTTGTCCACAAAATAAATGAATTCGTGAACAAAGAAAGCGCTGAATTAAAAATCTGTTCAAACCATTTGCTTAATATATAATTATTGGTTGAAATAAATCAATTGTTATCTAATTTGTAGCCAAACTATTGCGAAATATTAGACAATTAATATTATTATAAGGTCTCGACAATTCATCCATTCATTCATTTATACATTTCTTAATCTATTTTTTCTTTGTATTCTTCGTCTCCTTCTTCGGCAATGAGACAAAAAAACGAAATTTAAAATTAATGATAAAATGCAATAAATAAGAGCTTAATAGCGGCGGGCATTACATTGAATGACAATTTATCTAATTCTTCAAACATTAAGCCAAATGTTTGTCTAATATATCATGAAATAAATGAAAATAACTTTCGATGTGTTTCTCATATTTTAAGGCCGACGGCTCTAAACTGCCGAAAGAGCGGGCATTCATTCGTTCCGGTAATTTGACGGTCAAATCAATCAAAAAAGAGGATCACGGCGTCTATGAATGTGTGTTAGACAACATCATCGCTACATTAGTCGCCACAACCACTCTTCTCGTCGATAGTAAGCCCTAATACTTCTCATATACTTCTCTCACTCTCTTATACTGATCGTTATAATGCTATTCGCGACAACAAAATACATATTTTTTCATTACACACACGACGACAAACTCATATAAAAAAATCTACTGTACACTACTGTCTATAATCATAAATAACTATAAATGCATTAATGTATAACTTATATGATTGTAAAAATAAGGTACGACACCACACGCGCCGACTAATGTATCGGTAAACTCGAGTGCCTTTGCGGCGACGGTGACCTGGGTGCCTAATTATGATGGAGGACATCAACAGTTCTTCAGCATACGGTACACACATATACACCACATTCACAATCATTTTATTAGTTTATATAGTTTTTGTTGTTTTGCACTTTATTTCGATCAACACATCTATTATATCGATATATGTTTTTTTGGTCGACAATTTTTTGTCGCTGTCTTCCCCTCACAATTCGTTTTGACAACAAATTTAATTTAATTTTCTTTTTATATATTTTATGTCATCGTTTTTTTCTTCTTCTGTGTGTTTGCCTTAAAAGCTATCGATTTTCTGATGAGGACGAGACGGGATGGAAGACGATTAGAGTCCAGCCGCCAGAGACCACATCCACTTTCACTATATATAACTTACAAACTAATACTGAATACGACTTTCAAGTATTCGCTTCCAATACTTTCGGCAGAGGTTTGGGATCTAATATAGTGAGGGCTCGCACTAAAAGTAATCATTCATTTCAATGTTTAATACTTATCGTTACAATTTGGACATTAATTATTGTTGTTATCTTATTTCGACTATAGGTTGGGATTCAGTTAATGGTCAGTTCCCTACCGATGATTACGGCTCCACATATATGCCTGTGCAGGAGCCTGGTAAATAATTAAATGCGCCAGATTTATAAATAAAATGTGCTATAATTGATTGCATTTGAACAGAGATGGGCACTCGTCCGGGCACTACTGATACATTAGATGAGCCAACGATGCCGTCGACCACATCGGCCCCATTAGGTCCAAAGCCAGGACAGGCCCGCAATGTGACCGTCGAGAAGATGGCTCAGGGATGGGTTGTCTCATGGCTTCCGCCATTGGAGGGCACGACTAAAGTCTCGTACTATACGGTCGAGTATAAAGAAGGCGACGGCAAATGGGTTACATCGGAGTCCGTCTCTAAGGAGACCGCGTATTTGAGTGCGTTTTTTTTGGCTAACATTTAATGTGAACAATAAATTGCAAATTTTGCTGATTATGGTGTAATTGTAGTCAAAGACCTGCATCCGGGGCTTAAGTATACGATTCGTGTGAACGCATTCTCTATACTAGGAATCGGAGATTTGGGACAATCACTAGAATATAAAATACCCGGTATTTCGAGTCGTGTTGTGAATTGAATTGACAACAAATAAAATTGTTATAAAATAAATTTTTTGTGCCAATTCAGGTCCCGAAGGGATAAGAGGTCCGCGAGCTATAACAGCCGGTATAGTGGGAAGTGTGCTATTCTTCGTGGCGGCCCTTATATTGAGTGTTTGTACGGTTAAGATATGCAACAAAAGGAAGAGAAGAAAACTAGAAAAGGGTCCGAATTGTTGATAATTAGTGCCATAAATAACATACATTAGTAACGATTATGTGATTATCTCCTAATAGCCTATATGATGGTCACCTGCCCTGTGATGGATGGCGTGAATGGCGGCCATTCTCACGGCGGAAGTCCAGTGCCTCACAAACAGTAAGTTGTCTTCAGTAGAGATCATATAAATTGATTTAACGAATGGTTTTTTGCTTAAAATATTTTTTATTCAAATTGCGATATCAATTGACGACATTCTCGCAGATCCTCTCAAAATAATATTAAAGGTATTGCTTTTCGTACGAAAGTTTAATAAATTGATTTAACGAATGGTTTTTTGCTTAAAATATTTTTTATTCAAATTGCGATATCAATTGACGACATTCTCGCAGATCCTCTCAAAATAATATTAAAGGTATTGCTTTTCGTACGAAAGTTTAAAATTTAATTTTCCACCAAAATTTTTTTATATCAAATTTTTAACGCAGAAAAAAATTTAAACGAATTGAAATTGTATTGAAAAATATGAAATAAAAAACAAAACATTTAAATTGTGTTCTCATTTTTTTTCTCTTTCTCTCCTTTGCATTGGATTTGCAGCTCATAATGATTTGATTTGCAGTTTAGGAACGCCTGGGAGTCTACTCGGTATGTATATTACATTTTTGTCATGTGAAATACGACATTTTTTCATATCACAAATCATATTAACTGTAATTTGTTGGTCGTAGACATGAGAAAAGCCGAATATCAAGTCTGAGAATAATTATATAATTTAATAAATGCATTACATTTGGATTCAAATAACCAGAAAACAAAATAAAAACAAAATCGACTGACAATTGTCTCATCGGTATTGATATTCAGACGATTGGAAGATCCAAATGAATGCGAAATGAATGCTCATTATTAACATTACTGATCGTCCGTCCAGTACTTCAATTATATAACAGGAAATCAAATGTCAGCCCTTTTTCTCCACAATTCTTTTGTCATTCCGTTATTCAAGTCATTTGTTCACCAATTCTAACGGAATATCAATTATGTTACTTTCTCTCTCTCTCTCTCTCTCTCTCTCTCTCTCTCTCTCGCTTACGATTTAAAGAAATAAAAATTTAAATAACATTTTCAAAGCCCTTTCGTTATAGTCATCCAAAAAGTTAATTGATTTGATTTTAATCTCGAGAAAACTGAACACAATGTATGAAGTATTTGAGTGACGGAAACAAAACAAAACAAATATAAATTTCAATCCATTCTCATTAACATTACATTTGGAAACATATATAAAACAAATAATAAATGTATCACAAAAAATAGCAACAATGGTATACATAATCATATGTAAGGCTAAACGTCGGGTTTGTATAAATTGAAATTTTAAAAATACAAACAAATATATTTCACTGCCTTTTTGTTTCACCGGATTTTTGCTTTCTTTGAAATTAATGTTTAATACGTTTTTCTCAAAGGAGTGAAAGAAATGTTTATTTTATTGAATACTAAAACAACGCTAAGAATTAAATGTCAAAACGAGTTGAGAAAAGATATTTTGCTCTCTCTTAAGACCATAATTACATATGAATTACACGATATTCTCGGATCAGATATAATATTTAGATAAGAGAGAGAGAGAGAGAGAGAGA